ATGTGTTGTTTTATTGTTTGGAAAAATTATAAATTAATGAAAATAAATACTGCATCTATACTTGTTTGAAATTATTGTCAAGTGGGTCAAAAATTTATTTTTGTTTATCATGATGAGATATTATTGTTCGGATATATTCCTGTTTGGATATTTGAATGATGCATGACTTGTCAGGGTATTTTAATATATGGTGTTAATGGAAATTTCTATTCGGTTAATTATTACCATGTGGTAAGCCCTCATTAGACCCAATGAGTGGCGTGTCGCTTGGTCCAACTCACCTTTGGCCGGGTGATTTAGCTTCTGAGCATGGCGAAAGGCGGATATAAGGTGCAGTCATGCAAATTAAATACTTGTTCGGTTTGTTTGAAAATATGGTTCTGTTAAATGTTTTGTGTGCCCACTTAGCAATCGCATGATTAGTTACAACCGCATGCATCATTACATATTAATTTTTGATTACTGGGACTTTTAAGTCTCATTCTCTGTGGTTAATATTTTTACAGGAGCGAGTCCGGCCGAAAAAGCACCAGAGGTGTAACTATGGTGTATGAGACACCATCTTTTACGTTGCCTCTTATTTTGGATTATACAATGTATCTTGTGCCAACTTAGGACATATCTTCTTTGTGAAGCATGTAAACTCTAATCTTTTTTATTAAAAGTATTTATATGAACAAGAGGATTATGTCTGTCTCTCTTGATTTATGATCTGATTTGAATATCATGCCGTGAGGATTATGTCTGTCCCTCATGGTTTTAATTGCCTTTTTGGATATGTTAAGACTTGTGTTATGTCTTGAATGTATCATGGTAAGAAAATTTTCTACCATGATAATGGTTTTAATAATTTGTGAAAAATCAGTTTGTAAATTTTAAGGTGTTACAGCAGATGTCCGGACTATCATGTCCTCATGCATGTGCTGCTATAAAGCTTTCACATGGCAATATATATATATATATATATATCGATATGTTGAGAAATGATATCATTTAACTTGACAAGAAAAAATCCATGGTAGTGATATGATCTCGGTTGAGACTTTTGACATTCTAAAGCTTGATACAGCAATATTGACAAATAACTTATTACAAACTTTCTTGCAATTGCTTTTAACTAGCTATCCTCTTGGGAGGCCACGAACAAGGAGGATAAAATCTCAATTTTAAAATAAGAAGATTTATCATTGTTCAAGATGTGGGGAGGATAGACACAGTCGCAAGACATGCAAGAATTCTAACCCAACATGAGAAGTAGCCATATTGTACTTCTTTAGTATACATAGGCAACTATAATTATGTATATAGAAGCATTCTCAATTAATATATTTTTTAGGTAATTAGGAATGACATATATTTTTTATTTGTATATAGAGAAGCAATTGTTAGATGTTTTAGATATAGTGACTAACTTTTTGTATATATCAGACTTAAAATATCATGTCAAATTTTATGTGGGTACTTGTTTTAGTACCGAGGCTAGAACCAATATGAAATTCTTATTTGATATAATTATTCTTATTAATATTAGAAATACATGGACTTTCTGTTAAGCATTTGTAGACATCGTCTTATGCACAGTAGATATTGTGTCATGCATTGTTTGCCTAACTTATCATTTTTGTTCGGGCTAAGCTAATGAAATTCTTGAAATGAAAGTCCATGCGTGTCTAAATGATAGGCTTAATAAAATGTATAAGTTAAACAGACAATATACAACACAATATTTACTAAGCACAGCACAATGTTCATATATTCTCAATTGAAAGTTCATGCATGTCTAGTTTATCAGTAGGCTAAACTTAACAAAATGTATAATTTAGGCAGACAATGTATAACACAATATCCATTATGCACAACACAATCTTTATATATTCTCAAATGAAAGTCCATGCATGTCTAGTTTATCGGTCGACTAGGCTTAACAAAATGTACGAGTTACGCAGAAAATGTGCAATACAATATCCACTATGCACAATATAATGTTTATATATTATCAACTGAAAGTCCATACATCACTAGTTTATTAGTAGGTTAGGTTTAATAAAATATATAAGTTAGGCAAATAATATATAACACAATATCCATTATGCACAACACAACTTTCATATATTCTAAACTAAAAGTCCATGTGTGTTCAGTTTATTAGTTGGCTAGACTTAACAAAAAAGTTTCTTAAATTTATGAACAATAAAAAGTATGTATATAACATGACAAAGTTCATTTATTAACAACACAATATCCATCTATTTCACATAATTTGTGTGATTAAACTGAACATGTGAAAAAGTTTCTCAAATTTATGAAGAACAAACAGTCCGTATATAACATAAAAGTATCCATTTGCTAACAACACAATATCCATATATTTACAATACAAGGTTTGTCGATATGATACACATAAATATTTGCACAAGTTAATTGCAAAGTTTGTACAATGTAAACTCCATAAATAATAATATAAATTTTATAAATAACATCTACACCAGAATATGTATATCAGCTACAGAAAAATATGTATTAGAAACAATAAAAAGTTCATAAATAATAACTTATTTTTATTAAATGAACGTGAACATGTACATTATGAATAGATACAATTGATATGGCTCAAACTCTCTCTATGTCCTTTTTTGACCAAAAAAATAATAATAATGGATCAACCGAAGCTTCTAAGACTTTGACCAAGACGAATGGATGAAGTAAGCTCAAAGACAAGCCTAAGAGCAGTAAAAAGGTTTCTTCTGTAATGGAAGATGCAGCAGCTTGATCCATTCTTTCCACACTATGACAGATCGTTCCAAGAAGCTGGTTGGTGTGAGAGGAATGTAATCGGGCAAATGCTTGATCGTCTTTTTCATAGTCATCTAGATAAAAGAAAATCGCCCACTCATACCTGTTGAATGAAAATGCTTCAAATGAGAAAAAGAAGGGAAAATGAGGAGGAAGAAGAGAGGGAATAAAGAAGCATGATGGGGAGGAAGATGAATTTAGTTATTGCATCAGTGTTGAAAGAGGAAGAGAGAGAAAGAAGAGGGAGGAAGAAGAGAGGAAGAAGAAGAAAGTTGTCGTTCAACAGCTAGTTATAGGAGGAACAAATTAGTCATTTTATCAGAAAATATAATTGCAAATGAGGCTTTTAGACCCTCAAAATAATTTCAGATTCTATTAATCCTTGTCTGTAAAATTCTTTTTTTTTATAGCCCTTAGTATCATTCTCCCTAAATTTAAACCAATAGACATTTATGGGTATGGATTCTCTCATCTTCCTTCCTGTCCTCTTTCAAGTTTATACAATTTAGATTTGATTTTCTATAAAATTGTTATTAAAACATTAAATTATAAATAATATAAGAAATAAAATTCAAGCTACTAAAATTTAATAAAAATAATTTAAAAATATAATAAAAATAAATCGAAGGAGACCAAATCTAGATTATCAAAAATCTTGATGTAACGATTAGAAATTAAAAAAAAGGATGGGAAGGAAGAGGAGAGAATCCTCTCCTGACATGTATAGTAAATGTGGGACCCACTCAAATTGCACAGGTGGCGGTACCATTCTCTTTCTCTCCCTTAATCTCTCTATGTCTCTCTTCCCGCCTTGCCCCTCCTCTCTCTCCTTAATCCTCTCTCTCTCTCTCTCTCTCTCTCTCTAGGCTAAAGGTGAAACCATGGAAGACATATTTGCTGCGGTTGATCAACGCTGTAGCCAATGACGAGTTCTTCTTCAGCATAGCCAATCACTCACTCACCGTCATTGAAGTCGACGCCTCCTATGTCAAACCCTTCGATGCCGCCACCACTCTCTTCATATCCCCTGCCAAAACCATGCACGTTCTCCTCATAGCCAAAACTTTCTTTCCCAACACCACCTTCCTCAGGACGGCGTGTCCCTACTTCACCGGTGGCAGAACCTTCAACAAACTCCACTGTCGCAGGCATCCTCTAATACATACATCCATCCAAACCATGACAGCTCGAGTCGTACTCAACAATGTAACGGTCTTTCCTTCTTCAACTACACTCGCAATTACTTACTTGGCCAACCTTCTTCCCCTATGCGTTCGGCAAGTGGTGTACCTGGATTCCGACTTGCTTCTAGCGAATGAAATTGCCAAACTCAAAGGCCAACATGTCTTTAGGATATCCTTGAAGGTCTCCCACACACGTGGCCAAGTAACTACAGTTGGCAATGTTGTCATCCAAAGTAGTCATGGTAAGCATGATAATAAGTCAGACTTCAATTACATGCAAAACTATAATCAGCATCTCTCACCCTTTTATCTCTTGCTCTATGTCGGTGGGTGCATGTGCGTATCTACTCTGTAGAAATGAGGAAGAAGATGGTGGTGACAATGAGAGGCTTCATGCTCTGGTTCTGGCGGTAGGAACATAGCACTTTTTGCGTGGGTGAGCCTTTCTGACAGTCACACTTCCTTCAAAATATGATCAGAGTCGAGCTGAGAGAGAGATATGGCAGCGAGATGAGAGAGGAGGAAGTTTACAAAGTAAAGATATTTGAATAATCAATATACATTAATTATTTAAATTTTAATATTAAATTAAATCCTTTAAATTAAATCTAAACTAAATTAAAAATGAAAAAATATTAAAATTATTTTATAATTTTTATAAATTTTTATTTTAATATATAAAAAAATATTTTTTAATATTTTAAACTTAGACCGTACAAATTAAAATTTAAATGTTCCAGATTTTATCCCTTGTGTTCATTTTTGGGTTGAGTGGAGAAACCTACTCCGAGTGGAAGGCGAACGGATGAGGAAGATACTGCCACCGGTGCAATTTGAGTGGACCCCACAATACTAAATAAATGTCCAATGTTTAAATTTAATAGGAAATACAAGGTGCTCCGTTTTGTAGTTGATTATTTATTATGCCCCATTCAATATTTTTATGTTTAAATTTATACATTTACCTTATATATATATATATATGGACAAGATTTATATACTTAATTTTATATATTTAATATATTTATATTTAATTAAATCAGTTATAAATGATAAGTTGTCTCAATAGTAAGGCCACCTTCATGCAAGCCAGAGATCCAGAGTTTAAGCGCTGCTTTGGCCTTTGGCATTTAGGCATGTGAGCTGTGTGTTTAAATTGATTATTTCCAAAAAGATAAAAAAGAAAACATACACACACACACAGTTACATACTATCGAGATCAACCCGCGCTTTTCACCGAAGGGAGAGAAAACCCCGAGCGAACCAAAATTGGCTTTCTGCTTCGTGCCTTCGTTCGTTGCGTGTTGAATGCTCTCCTTTCTTCTCTCTAAGACTCTCCGGCCCTTTTCACCCGTAGGCCTTGCAATTTCACGTTCGTTTTCACAGAACGCCTTGATTTTTAATGGCCCCACTTCTCCAATTCACTGCAGTACTTCACTTACTAATCGCCATTGCTATCAACAATTTCTACTTTCTTTACTTGAAACCTGCAAGTCCATGGACCAACTCAAGCAAGTTCACTCACAAACCATCAAAATGGGTCTTACTTCTGACCCTTCTGTTCAAAACACAGTTATAGCCTTCTGTTGTACAAATGATTCAGGTGATGTGAACTATGCTCGTCACCTGTTTGATACAATTCCTGAACCATCTGTGTTCATTTGGAATACCTTGATCAAAGGCTACTCTAGGTTAGAGTGTCCTTCAAATGGAGTTTATATGTACCTGCAAATGTTGAGGAGGAACATAAAGCCCGACCGTTACACATTTCCGTTCTTGTTGAAGGGATTTAAACGTGACAAGGATTTGCAGTGTGGGAAAGAGTTATTTTGCCATGCAATAAAATATGGCTTTGGTTCTAATTTGTTTGTTCAGAAGGGTTTTATACATGTGTTTTGCTCGTGTGGGTTAGTGAATGTGGCTCACAAGGTCTTTAATATGGGTGATGCATGGGAAGTGGCAACCTGGAATGCTTTGATATCTGGGTACAACAGAGTTAAGCAATTTGAGAAATCAAAGAAGCTTTTTAATGAGATGGAAAAGAAAGGAGTATTGCCCAACTCTGTTACCTTAGTTTTGATGCTTTCAGCTAGCTCCAACTTGAAGGATCTAGATGAGGGCATGAAGATCCTTGAATATGTCGAAAAAGGCTTTGTTGAACCTAATCTCATACTGGAAAATGCCCTGATTGATATGTTGGCAGCTTGTGGAGTAATGAATGTTGCACGAGAGATTTTTGACAATATGAAGACTCGCGATGTGATCACATGGACTTCTATTGTCAGTGGGTATGCCAATACTGGTCAAATTGACTTGGCTCGGAAGTATTTTGAGCAGATACCTGAAAGGGATGGTATTTCCTGGACTGCCATGATTGATGGATACCTTAAACTGAACCGTTTCAGAGAAGCTTTAGAACTCTTCCGTGAGATGCAAATCTCAAATGTAATACCAGATGAATTCACCATGGTTAGTATTCTAACAGCATGCGCACATCTGGGAGCACTTGAACTAGGGGAATGGATTAAGACTTATATTGACAAGAACAGTATAAAAAATGATACTTTTGTTGGGAATGCTCTGATAGACATGTACTTCAAATGTGGAAACGTGGAAAAGGCAAGAAAAGCATTTAAGGAAATGCATTATAAAGACAAATTTACATGGACAGCGATGATTGTTGGTTTTGCTATTAATGGCCATGGTGAAGAAGCTCTTGATATGTTTTCAGATATGATGGAAGCTTCAGTTATACCAGATGAGATAACCTACATTGGTGTCCTGTGTGCATGTACACACACAGGCATGGTGGAGGAAGGAAAAGAATTTTTTGTGAGTATGACCACCCAATATGGAATCAAGCCGAGCGTGACACATTATGGATGCATGGTTGACCTTCTTGGTCGAGCCGGTAATTTAAGAGAAGCACATGAATTAATTGAGAACATGCCAATAGAACCAAATTCAGTTGTCTGGGGATCTCTTCTCGGAGCTTGTCGTGTCCAAAGAAATGTGGAACTTGCAGAAATGGCTGCTACCAAGATTCTTGAGCTAGAACCTGAAAATGGAGCTGTTTATGTGCTGTTATGTAACATATATGCCGCCTGCAAAAGATGGGAAAAGGTACGAGAAGTAAGGAAAATCATGATGGATAGAGGAATTAAGAAAATACCAGGTTGTAGTTTGATAGAAATGAATGGTAGCGTTCATGAATTTGTTGCCGGAGACCAGTCACATCCTCAATCTAAAGAAATATATGCCAAGTTAGAAAACATGATGCAAGAATTGACATATGCAGGGTATTCACCTGATACATCAGAGGTCTTCCTTGATATTGGAGAAGAGGACAAGGAAACTGCTGTTTACCGGCATAGCGAGAAGTTGGCTATTGCCTATGCTCTTATTAGTTCAGGACCTGGTGGTGCCGTAAGAATTGTGAAGAACCTCAGAATGTGTGTGGACTGTCACCATATGGCCAAGCTGGTCTCTAAAGCTTACAATAGGGAACTGATAGTTAGGGATAGGACCAGATTCCACCATTTCAAGCATGGTTCTTGTTCATGTAAAGATTTTTGGTGAAGAGTAAATAATGCATTCCCAGTTTATTAGGTCATATGGACTTAAGTTCTCTTTTGATCAATAAATTTCTTAGATTCGTTTTATTAGGTCATATGGACTTGTGTTCTCATTTGATCAATAAATTTCTTAGATTCGTTTTGTTACTTGGTATGATCAATACCACCAGCTTATCTTGATAGAGCCGGCACATAAATCATAATAGATGTTCTATTGCTGAATCTAAAGGGCTTTAAGCTGCAAAACTGAGACATAGTTACCGCAGAGTTCCACTCTTCATTTGCTATCCCAAAAAAGAAATAAACAAATAAATAAAACAAACTTTCTAGTTTATACTAAGATAAATTTTTACTGCGTAAGACAACACATGCACGAGGGCTATCCCAGCAATAGTTATACAGACACTAACGATTCATATCTACTTGACCTTCCTTCAAATTCAGTTTTTAGATGTCTCGCCTCATATAACCTTATATTTCACTGATGAAACACGCTGGCAATTACTCGTAGCGAAAATACTTGAGTAGATACTGAAAGATCAACTGAATCTCCAAGCTCAGCATAATGAATCCCACTAAGGGTTTGGAAACTGTCAGCTAGAACCAGGGTCAAGTACAGGAAGTCTGCAGTGCAAGCTAATTGATTTATCGGTCTGCCGAGAACCAGGAATGAAGAACTGAAATATAACTGTCAGACAAGCACCCAGTGGAGCAATCCCATAGAAAGCACAATCTGGTTTGGTCAAGTGACACTGAAGGCTCTTGGCAAAGTGCTTAACACTTACTTGCACAGATTGAGCATCTCCTCTGGCAACTGACCTGGATGACCGAGTCTGAGCACTCAGATTTTGATCTTCAGCAGGGGCATCTGCTTTCTCCCCAATGACCAACAATTTCCGAAACTCAGCACCGAGAGTGATCAATGTTGTTGAAACCTGTATATGCAAATCCCCGTACTTGCTTATGGAGACACTGAGCACATCACCCACCTGCTTCAACCTATCAACAAAGTTCTGCAATTGGTTCATATCTGGCACCTGAACTAGAGTTTGAGGCAGGTCTTGGGCCATATCCAAAGCATTCTGAAGTTCAAGAACCTGAGCTCTTGATAATGGCTTTGAAATAGGGATATCCTGAATAACAGCAGATTTATAACCTTTGGTTTCAAAGGTAAGAAAAGGCATGGGTTGGGTACAATTTGGAGGTAGCTTTTTCACCAACTTGATTTGGAGACGATTAGAAGCAGTCCCACTGCCACCAAGTTCAGAACAAATGCTCACACTGCTACGAACCGCACGTTGGAGAAGAGTGACATCTATGGTAAAAGCAATACGATCTTCGTTCTGGCTGGAAATGCGGTAGTCATCGAAAAGGGCTTCTTTGCGAAATTGAGCAATGGATTGAATACCATCTCCATTAAGGAGGTTGTGAAGGAACATGGCATGGTCTCTTGTGAGGTAGAGGTGACATATCTTTCCCATCTTGTCAAGTGCTGGCAGGAACCTCTTCTCCAAAAGAGTCACTCCATTGTCCGTGAGAAAAGCCTTGAACTTCATCCTAGAGAAAACAACCAACAGATTGCATTCTATGTCAATCCTTCATAACATAATTATCACCGTTGAAGAACACAAATCCGATTCCAATTTCAGATATAACGAACGTGAGCATTGATAAAAATAAAATTCAATTAGGATATAACAATGGGAAATTCTTCTTCTCGGAACTGAACTGTTCAGTAGCTCGGAAGATGCGAGAGAAAGGGGAAAAGAAAATCCAAAAAATGGCGCGAAAAACTTCCCTATTGCGCAGAGGATAAACTCAAATCAATGGGATCCTCGTGTTAAGCCAGAAGAAAATGGCATACAAATGATTAAAAAGTTATCAGAATCCAAAAGGAATGGGGGAATTGAATCGCCTGAAAAAGCATACCTTGGGATAGATTGAGACGAGGGCTTCTTCGCCACGAACAACAAAGTCTAAAACGCGCCACCGCTCTGTCAAACTTGCAGCGTGGTGGAGTGTCAAGTGCCTTTTTCTTTTCTCAACCCTCATATAAAAGAGGCAGAACGCCAAAATGAATTTTATGTTGTTTTAATTACATGTTTATTTCAAAATTTTCAATCACTAAAAACTGCTAAATAATCATGTACATTCAATTTGAATGATGGGTAAAGGGTCTCTTTGTTTTAAATTTATTATGTTATGACCAGCTATGATATACAAATCTCATAGACTTATTTGATTGGCTAGTAAAAGATTCTCTCTGAGTTAATGGAGGCTAATGTTAATAGTACTCCTCCCTTGTTGATTTTATTGATTATTTCTCCATCTTTTTAACGATTATGCATTATGCCTCACTTAGTCTCACCTATTTTCAAATTCAAATTTCATACATCGCAACTTTAATGGGAGCATTGACTTGTATTATTTTCCCTATTATGATCAATGTCTGTTGCCATTTCCCCTTAGTACTTATTTATTCTTGTGTTTCATCCATAGTGTAACATGATTCATAATTACAATGTTAATGTTCTTTTAATTTATATTCTTCTAATTAAAGATGTATTTAAATAAAATGTCTAATAAGACAACTTCATTATTTAAATTTAATTTTATAATCTATTGTTATTCAATTTTTTTCATACATTTGTATGATGTCAAAACCATACCACACATGGGATTCAATCTAGTTTGCTCTTATAGAATGGAATATAATATGAATCATGAAGTTGCTTACATTTTTAATTTAACCAACTTTTTAAATCTTTGTAAATTAGTTGACCACATCTTATCTTTAAAACGTAAGGGGTAACTCATTTGCATCTACATATATTTATTTTAATAACTATATATATACATACATACATTCATATATATATATATATATATACACTTCCTCTAGTTAGAATTTATATGGCAAAGTTGTTAAGTCATGTTTGGCCCAAATGAAACATCCTTCCTCCATAAATACGTTTAGAATCATAATTCAAGATAATTAAGGAATTAACTCATTAAGAGATTATCAAGTTCGTAATTTTAAAATAATGAAATCCTAAATTTTCATAGTTCAAAGTAATTCAAACCCATACATTTCATCTTTAATTGTTACAAAAACATGAAATACCTCAGAAGTGTGAAAAAAGTTAAAAACAATTGAAAAATCTTATGTCGCTGAAAATAGAGTAGTGCATCGTGGCTTGTAACTCTGTGTGCGATGTGCCATGGCTTGTTGCACACTCATTACAGCAAATTTTGCTATTGTTGACAGGAAAACTAGGCAACTTCTAACATTCCTTATTTCTCCATCTGATGTCCAAATGATATAATCTAAATGTTTATGAAAAACTATTTTTACAAACTAGCTAATGGTATGAGTTTCAATTTCAAAAAAAGTTACACTAGAAAGTTGAACACCTAAACACATTTTTACCACTTTTCTCAACTTTCACAACAAAAAAGGTGTTCAAAACTTTAAACAAGTGCCAAAAGCCATTCATAATACCCAACCATATTTATTAAACCTAAGACTACTAGCACAATACACCACATGTATAAATATGCCACTATTAAAATTTCACTCTTCAACCCCTTTAATGCCAAAAACAAAATGGGGAAGTTTTGCATTGCATATCATTAAAAATCAATCATATCATGCTTAAAACAACCTTACTACACTTGCCCTAGTATTTTGACACAATCAACATCTTACAACCTAACATACACCACATCTCAAGGCCCAAAATACATCCATACATCACAGACAACTATATAGTGCAAATGTCAACAAAATGCATTTTAAATTAACAATATGCAATCTATTACACAAAATTAATAAGTAAAATATAGAAGCATACAATAAGAATACATAGATTCCTATGCCTCTAGAGCTTTATCCCTCTCTGTACCAAACTAGAACCTGTAAAATGTTAAAGAAAAGGGGTGAGTCTAGCCACTCAATAACTAAGATAAGTGTACCATATGCAGTTGTACATCAATTGAAATAAACATATGAGTTTGAAATAGATTTTCTCACACAATAATACATGAATCACCATTTCTCACTTCTTAATTAACTCATTTCCATTTCAATCACGAAATATATAGCCACAAGATACTCAAATATGTGATCATAAATTGATATGTTAACACGACTTGCCATAATTTAATCATGTGACACGTCATATAAACATAAATATGCATGATCATACCATCCTTATACATTCTTTATTTCCTCCGATTGAAACTGTGGATTATAATATCGAATAGGACTCTGTCTGTGTGTTTGGACCACCCAAGCTTACCAATTGTGAGGTGTCCGATCAAAGATCACATGAGACACTCTCAAACAATGGTTTTCCTCACTCTCGAATCTCTGAGGTGTCATATACCCTAAGTTAATTTCCTCGATAAACTGATAGAGATAGCTAGATTTTAGTCCCTCAAAAAACTATGGAATAGTCATTCGACAAACTATAGGATAAGGCTATACCCTCGTGTATCGAAAGGCAGTCAAAAATACTATATAAATTTTTAACTACTCATCTTACCAGTAAACTTCGATCAATTGATCATGCAATGTACGATACCTACTTACTTTTATAATTTCATTTATTCATTTTCAATATCAACACATTAATTCAGGACTATGCACTACCTAAGTGAGCATCAATTATTATTCTCACATTTATCACATATACCATTTTCAATCCCAACATATTCATCATTATCATACCCAACACCAACTACTCACTTCAATATCACAATGCAACTTTGAGATTCATTCCACAATCACATTTGCATCTTTAGTTCAAATCAAAGTAATTATATAATCACATGGTTTCATAGCATGTTACACATATTCATAAATCACAATTTCACATGTTAACCACATATTTCACATTACATGCAATTAATAAACAAATATCTAAGATAGGGTTCCCCCAGTTAACTCAAACCTTTGAAAGATAAAAAGTTTATCCCTTAATATCTTAGCTTCTAAACTTGATTTCCCAAGCCAAAATGGTGCCCAATTGTTCAATATACAATTAGTCAAATTCTCAACTTATCAATAATATCAAACACACATTTTCAACTCTCATTTTTCACTTCTAGATTATTCAATGTCTACATTGTTCACATTTAGGCCCACTTATTAGGTTTATTGACTATTTTTAGCTCCCAATATTATTAATGAGCCATTAAACCTCTATTGATGGCATTACAACTCTTCCAACAACCCTCATTAATACCATTTTCAAATATTTATGGAGCTCACCAACTAAAAATATCAAAACTCATTATTTCTAAGTTTAAATACTCCAATCAACTCTTATTAACTTTATTTAAGTCAATGGGTTCAGATCCATAACCTATATGGACTGAAAATCATCATCCCAACTCAAACCCTAACTATAATCCTCATTAAACTGAAAAAGATAGGGAGGAATGGGGTATAAGAAACTTACCTTTAGTGATTATTACCTCCAAAATGTTCCAAACACCTTTCAAATATGAACTCTAACAAAGCATAGGTTGTCCTCTTCATTTCCTCTTTCTCTTCTCTCTATGTTTTACCTCAGTTCGTGACTTAAGTTCTATAGAAAAAGGGTTATGCGCCATAGTGCACCCAGCACTAGCCGTAGTGCATGGCATAGAGAGGCCCTCTTGCTTCAATGGTCACTGTGCGCTGTAGCAAATGTGCTGCACGCCGCGACATGTGGCACAGAGACATTCATTCATGTTTTTTATCCCCTTTCGATGCTCTAGTGGCCCGTTTTCACTCCGAACCCAAAACTAAAGCTAAAAACACAACCAAATATCATTAGTAGACCTTCCTGATCACACACCACATTGAAACAATCAATTACTACAATCAAACTTGATTAATTTTCTAGTAATCCAATGATTAAAATTTAAAATATTACACTAAATAGAGGACAAAGATAGAGTGGTTAATTTTTTATTTTCAATATTATCCCTTCTAAATTGTACTACGCTGTAATTCTTGCACACATTTTTATTGTAGTCATACCTTCTTAATTGCTCTCGGTTGTAATTCTCATATACTCAAATTTTATCAGTCATTAATTTTAGTAAAGAACAAAATTTAAAAGTCAAATATTTTTTACTAAATTAAGGATATTAATTTCCATTCCCTAACAACGTTGGTCGGACAAGGGAGGATTGATTTGGTTGATATTTGTTAGTCAACTGAAATCCTCGTCCTTGCAACCTTTAAGAAAAAGAACAGAGACATAGAGTCACTCAAAACAGGCATCGATCTTTGTATTCTATATTGCATGGTCCTCTAAATTTACACGTTTAAGTTTGTTCAACATTTCATCCAATGCTTGCACAGCAGTCCTAAAATGGTCATGCGATTTCCTACCTTCCTCCACAACCTGCACCATGCGTCTATATAAATGGTCATACCTATGAATTGGGTTATTTACATCAATGCCACTAGATTTGTGATCAATAACATAACTTCGCTTCAGATCTTTTCTCCATCTTGAAAGAATGTACTGAGGTGGGATCTCTTCTATGCCATTCTGGTTTAAGATAAATAGTGCATGCCTGCACAAGATTCCTTTAAAGTTGAACAAACCACACATGCAAATGACCTCCATTTCAGACCCATTGTAACACACCTCATAATCTCTTGTAACTCTCTGATTTCCTTCAACTTCAACTTGCTCCTTGATGATGTATGAGATCACTGGACCATCCACATTTATCTTTCTGGTGCTTAAACAGGAGTACATACCTTTTATTTCCCTTTCAAACATTCTGAATAGTTCATTTGTGTACAATTTTGAGATCTGCAACTCAAAATAACAACTTGGTTTATGCATAAAGCTTGAATTTTTTGAGTCCAAATCTGCCAGAGCCTCATGCTGCATCTTTGTCTGCAAAGCTTGATCGTATTTTTCCAAAAATTCCTTTAGAGGAGTTTGTTTATACAAGTAGCCCTCGAAAAACCATGGAGTGGCATCACTCGGTTGTGTAAGAAACATCCCTGCCAAGAAGGTTTCCTTCACATAAGCTGGGACCCACCGTTTCCTGTCCTCGTATAATGCTTGAAGCCACTCATGACCTCTAATTTCATATTGCTGCATCATGTCCTCCCAAGCTGCATCAAATTCCTCAGTCCTCAGAGAATAATAAAGTGATCCACTAATTGCTGCTTTCACTGCTTCATATTCTAGCAACCCCCCCAGTTTTTCTGGAATTTTTTCCATAATATTGGATAAGCAAAGACAGTGGGAAGCTCTTGGAAAAACATCAGCAACCACTGTTTGCATGATGCCAGATTGGTCAGTAACAATGACTTGCGGAGGGCGTCCTAAAATACAAGTAAGCCATGCCCTGGACAGCCAGGTATATGATTCAATGGTTTCACCAGCAATCAATCCACAACCAAGCAGAATGGATTGTTTATGGTGATTTAATCCGAGAAATAGAACCAAAGGAACTTCATACTCACTTGTCAAACATGTAGTATCAATTGCAACTACATCACCAAAATATTTGTATGCTACTCTTGACCTTGCATTGGCCCAAAACAAATTCCTCAAGCATCCCTTCTCATTGATATCCAACACATAGAAGAAGTGTGGATCTGTTAACTGCAAGTGACTAAAAAAATTTAGAATTGCCTCTGCGTCACCTTTATTCAGCTTCAATTGATTGGACCATACAGCTTTGCATTTGGGTTGTCCTCCATCAACATCTCCACATCCATTAGCCTCACCATCAATAATCACAGTTCGAAATAGCCTAACTTTCTGAACTTCTTTGGTACTGTCTAACTGCAATGTTCTTTTGGTCCCCAAACCCAGGCGCTTATGAGATTTGTAGAACTTCCCACTTGTTGGGCTTATCAAGTGATTATGCTCAAGCTCCACTTCTATAATTCTCCACCTTTTGGAATCCATCAGCCTGAACTTTATCATTGCGGGACAACCAGTTCTTGTTTCAGGTCTTGGACGATTGGCTTCACTTTTTTTCTTGAACCCAGCGCTACTGCAGCTGAGTTTTCCTCTGTAACGTTCCTTGCTCTTCCTATACCAAGTATTACTTACTCTAACCCCAAATCCTTGATCCTTGGCATAGCAATTGTAGAAATAATATACATCCTCATAAGTCTCAAATTCCATTCCAACAGCAGGAGGAAGTGGGTTCTCCCCTTGGATTATGCCAGTTTGACTTACAAAATCTGCCATTCCACAATCCCCTTCAATCTCAAATCCATCAGCATCATCATCTACTGCTGGCTCACTGTTGAGAGAAACTTCTGCCATTTGCCAGACTCTACCAAGATGCTGTTAAGGAACAACATAAATTTCATACAAAGTACACAGATGCTAATAAAAATCAACAAATACAAGAATTTGACGACACATTATAGTCAATTAATACATTCCCATGGACTCCATTTTGGACTATGAACCTCAATTACACCCAAAGCCATACAAAACAAGTAACATTTAATTTGATGTCTCTTCTGGAGAGGAAAAAAATTTGACTATTCAGTTATGAACAGGGTTTATAATTTTAGGCATCCTTTAAGTCATTTCTTCTCAGTGCCCAACAACATAAGAAAGAGATTTTTAGTGTAATTTAATTAGCAGAGGTACCAACAGTAACAGTATTCTTATTTTGCTTTATGTCACACACATGAACTATCATTGCATCTTGAATAATGATGTATTTTACGTGCTAAGAAAACATAGCAGCACCCAACTATCCAAGTTGGAAGAGATACATTTCTCCTTTAAATGGCATCTTCCTCTTCTTGGTTATTTATTTGATACAAGAGGAAAGTATTATTAAAAAGGAAGCAAAAGAAGTAAAGGTTTTTGTTATATACTCTTGTATCATTTTTAAAGAGAGCACACACCTCTACACTACCAGAGCAAAAATTACTTAGCACAGTAACCTCTAAGGGGATGTTGATGCTGCATCTCTATATTAACTCTTGTAGAGTTACTCAGTGGCCCCTAGTGCAACCAACCAGAAAAATGATAGCAATTGGCAGCATAACATAACAGGAGAATTGCCTTTTCTCTTCATTGCACGAGACTTGGCAGAAAATTAACTTCATGGACTCTATCACAGTCAATTGACTCCTGCTTCAACTTAGTACAATAATTCATATAGAAAACAGTGTAGCCTATTCAGACGATGTCCATATAAGAACCAGATTAATATGAAACATGAATATTCTTAATTCTGTCCATTCTATACAACATACAACAATGCCTCCCTATCCTTTCTATCGTTATCAAGATCAGGGAACAAATGATTTGAAGTTGTCTCCCCAAGTAAAATTTAGCTTAAAAATCTGTTCTAAGTGCACATGGTAACACTTAAACATATCCACAACCCCACCCAAGGCCATGTGAATGTGGAAACTGACAATTCTTTTTTTTTTTTTTTTGGTGACAATTATTTGGTATTTGGAATTACTGACTAATCCCAATTCAACTATTATTGAGCCCCAAATGGGGAAACTAACAAATTTGATCTTATTTAATAATTAATCACAAAGCATAGATAAAAAAAAAAGAAAGAAATCAGCAGCAATTTAAGAATGATTGGCAGCCATCTGTGTCCTCAGATTGACACATGTTACCGCTTTTACTAAATGAACCTTTTCATTAAATAATTGCAAATAAAATTATCCCGCATAGGAAAGAGTTTTTTCAACAGAACGTTATTCCAAATGTACGCTACTTTATCTCTCCAGAGGTGGGTGAATCATGTTATAAACTCAGACGGTCAATTTATCCCCCATGAACTACATCATATAAATGTATTCAATTTGCAGTCAACGTAGTGAGTTTTTTCAGCAGAAAGTTATTCCAAATGTAGGCTACTTAATCTCTCCAGAGTTTGATGAATCATGCTATAAACTCATACGGTCAATTTATCCCCCATGAACTACATCATATAAACATATTCAACTTGCAGTCAACGTAGTTATCTTGAAATATTCATTTAAAATAATCTAAGATGAACATGAAAAAGCCGTAGGGCTTTAGGTTCCATCAAAGAAGTTAGTTTGGGTCACTTCTATATTAGTTCCAGCACACAGACAACTCCTGCACGATCATCTAAAATTTTTGGACTCTATACTTGAAATTGAGCTAACTTTCAAGTTTCAGTAGAAATGAACACTGACACTGACATTCAATCAAATCCAGATGTAATGGTGAGCTCAATAAGCTCAAAACTCACTCATCGAGCCGTTCAAAGAAGAATTGAGCTCAACAGGCGAGACTGCCAATTGACCGTTTCCCACGATAGATATGAACAAAAGATAGACAAATTGACACTTTGTGACTGAAATTGAGAAGCCAACCAAGTCTAGTCAAACAAGGAGAGAGAATCATGCGACAAAATATCTGGGTGAGAGAAAGAGCGTACTGCAATTCGACGATGGGAAAGATGTTAGCTTGCTTGAGGACTCGGAAGAAGGAAGAAGGAGTCTTCTGACGAGAAAGCCATCGTCCGGCGAACGAAGTTGCTAAAGACTGCTACAACGGAACATTATCTGATTGCTACAAGTCTCCTAAATCCTAATTCCTGTTTTCTGTTATTATCTGAAAGCGAAGGGACGAAAATGGGATGTAGGAAATTATAGAGAAACGGCTTATGGCTCCTACAACGGATGAAGTCGACCATCAATGAGAAGACATAGTGAGAGACTGAGAGGACGCACAGAATCAATGGGGCATCAAATGCGTCAAGGTGTCATTTTCTCTTCTCTTTTGTACGCAAACTCAAAAATTGTCCAAAAACTCCACTGCAAATATACATAAAATTAAGGGGCGAAAAACTATTCTCCCCAATTTTATTGATAAGTGATTGTTAACATGCTGTATTTAACATGCTACACGTCTAACTATTTATTAAAACTAATAAGAAATGATTAAATTATTAATTTTATCTAAAAATAAAATAAATTTTTAATTTTATATATATTTAAATAAAAAAATTTTAAACTTACAGCACATTCTTTTTATGAATTTAAAGAATAATAATATTAAAAAATTATAATTAATATCACGTCAAGTACTTAAGAATCTTTCTAAAAGTTATCCTAGGGATAAGAGAAAGTAAAATTTTAAAATTCATTAACCATGTCTAAAATTTTAATAAATTTTTGACTTAGTATTTATTAAAAATACCTATTTTAATAATATATTTTTTTATTAAAATTAATAAAAATTAAAAAATAAATTTGTGACAAAATTTAATGACACGGACTTTGTTTCCATATGATTTGAAACAAATCATAGAGTTTGATTTCTTTCTTTCCATAACGTAAACGTTCATTTGATTTATGAAATATTTTTATGAAGATAATAATGGGGTAGAAAATAAAATTTGATGAAATAAGATATTATAGTTAATTCATTAAAATAAATATCCTCAAGAGATAATAAATATTGTAGGACTTTGACAGCTGAGATCGTTATTATTGATAGCTGCTTCACAAGTATTTTGAGATGCCTTTGACATTTTTATCTAATGCAATTATTCTAGAATTCAAACTTGAGACTATATCATAAATTGATTCGACTCTTTTAACCAATTAAATCAGACAAAAATTCTATCAAGTATTTCTTATAAATAGATATGGAGATAGTACATTTCAACCATCTTGATTTCCTTTTTAGTCGATTGCTATTTTTTTTTCCCAATCAGCCAAATAAAGTTGAGTATGACATTTTTATCAACTACCATGTCAACATATTAATTTCCTCTAATGCTACTTGTGTGGTCAACGCCACCTCAAAACCACATATTGCTTTGAGAAAATCATGTTATGATGGATCATCATCACTCCAAAGTTCAAACACTATAAATTGTTATAAGATGTATTCTTTCGATGATAATTTAGTATAGGATTTTTTTAAGATAACTCCTGAAAAATTTATAACTAGTATAAAATATTTTTTACTAGAATGCTAATATAAAAATATGAGAAAGCACTTGAACTACCAAACCGATTTATCATTGTTATATATCTCTTTTTCATATTTTTGAAATCCTCTCTTTGTAATTTTTATTTCCACTTTATTCTATTGTACGAGGGATCATCTCTGAGTCCTTATTTGTTCAACTTGATTTTAAATGTTTTGACAGAACATATTCAAGAGGAAATCTCGAAATGTATGCGCTTTGCGGATGATATAGTTCTTATAGCAGAGACAAGAGAAGAGGTTAATTGCAAACTTGAGTTATGGAGGAGGACATTGGAGTCGAAAGGTTTTCGTCTGAGTAGAAGTAAGACGGAATATTTATATTGTAAATTTGATAAAGGACTATTCAAAAATAATTTGGAAGTGAAATTGGGAGATCAAATTATACCTCAAGTGAAAAAGTTTAGATATTTGGGAGCCATTATTCAAAATGATGGCGAAATCAGTGGAGATATTTCACATAGAATTCAAGCTGGGTGGTTTAATTGGAAAAAAGCTAAAGGAGTTATTTGTGACCGTAAGGTGCCTAATAAACTTAAAGGAAAGTTTTATCGCACTGCTATCAGACCGGCAATGTTATATAGTAGTGAATGCTGGGCTCCAACGGGACAGCAAAAGCATAAAATTGGAGTAGCAGAGATGAGAATGTTACGATGGATGTGCGGACATACATGTAAAGATAAAATTCGAAATGAGCACATACGCAAAAAGTGAGGGTGGCACCTATTGAGGAAAAAATGGTAGAAAATCGGTTGAGATATGTACAAAGAAAACCAAGGGAGGCACCAGTGAGAAGAGTGGAACATATAACTTTGAGTCCGATTAAGAGAGGTAGAGGAAAGCCTAAGAGAACACTCTTGGAAGTTGTTGAACGCGATCTCTTAATTAATAATATTCCTAAAAGCTTGATAAATGATAGAGCACAATGGCGTCTTGCAATCCATGTAGCCGACCCCACATAGTGGGATAAAGGCTTGTTGTTGTTGTTGTTGTATTCTATTGTACGAGGGATAAAGATGTTAAAATGAATGTACGGAGATACAAACTACATATGATGAACAGCCATGGCCAACAGCTATAAACATCACCCAAAGAACCAATCGTGTGTGCAATGGCTGGCAGGGGAAAAAAATGAATAAAAGAAATTCTACAGGTACAAACTACGTGCACTCTTTGATCCACTTATTCAATCTTGTCTGCTGCTGCAAGGCGGACCTTGTTCAAGGACTCTTTAAATGCCTGCCAAGCAACCATATAATGATCTTGAGATACCATTCCTTCCTCAACAACTTGCATAGCCCGTCTGTACAAATGATCATAACACTGAACAGGGTTGGTGATATCAACATTATTGGAGCTGAGATTTGGTACATACAATCTCTTATAATCCTTCTTCCATCTCGACAAAATATACTGACATGGAATTTCCTCCACACCATTGTAATTAAGGATACACAAGGCGTGCCGGCATAGATAGCCTTTGAAGTTAAAGCAGTTACAGCCACAGCGAACTTCTGCTCCTGCTTTATCATACATGACTTCATATTGCCTGACATCCCTCACTGATTCTTCCTCCACGTGTTCTTTAACTATGTACGTCACTAAAGACCCATTTGTTTGAAACTCTGAGATGCTGAAACAAAAAGACATCATCATCACTTCGTCTTGGAACTTACTGAATACTGCATTTGTGTACAGTTTTGAGAGCTGCAACTCATAGTAACATCTTGTTTTCAGTAAGGGTGTTGAATCTCTCGACTCTAAATCAGCAAGACCTTCTTTTTCATGCTTCTCTTGTAAAACTAAGTCAAAAATGTCAAAAAATTCTTTCAAGGAAGTTTGTTGATGCACACGACCATAGAAAAAGGGACTCAAGGCCTCATCCTTTTCATAGTCAAAAATTCCGGCAAAAAATGTGTCCCTGGAATAAACTGGGGCCCAACGCTCCCGTTCTTCGTGTAGCAATTGGAGCTTCTCTTGATTGCTTATTCCAAAATGTTGAGTCCATTCCTCCCAAGCCCTCTCAAATTCATCAACTGTTTTAGATTCATATATCACTTTAGTCAATGCCATCTGAAATGCATCATATTCATGCGACAGAGCCAAGTCTCCAAGAATGCTTTGCATGACTTGTGACGGACAAATTCCATGGTGGGCTCTAGGGAAAACCTCAGTTATTGCACTTTGCATGGTTTTACACTGATTTGTAATGATAGTTTGTGGAGGGCGACCAGACATACATGAAAGCCATGCCCTAAATAACCAAATGTAAGTTTCAAATGACTCATCAGCAAGTAGACCACATCCAAATAAAATAGAGTGCCCATGGTGGTTGACACCAACAAAAGCAACCAGCGGAGTCTCATAATTGTTTGACAAACATGATGAGTCAAATGCAACCACATCACCAAAGTAACCATATGCAGCCCTTGATCTTGAATCAATCCAAAAGATGTTCCTCATACGTCCATCATCAGTCAGGTCCATGACATAGAAAAAATTAGGATTCATCAGTTGTTTGTGGCAGAAGTACTTTGCAATAACTTCTGCATCTCCTTTTCTAAGTCTCAAGTGCCTAGAAAAATTAGCATGGTCTTTAGTTCCTTCTTCATTAGCATTTGAGCTTCTATAACCTGATGAATCAACAACAGGCGTTCGATATAATTTGATTGTTCTTACTTCAACGTCTAAAGTTGGCTCAACCTTTCTTTTGGCTCCACTGTCCATCCTCTTATGTGATTTAGAGTTTTGTGCTCTCTCAGGATCAAATGAATGGTTATGCTCAAGCTTGACTTCATCAACTCTCCACCTGTTAGATTCCACTAATCTCAACCTAATCATTGCTAGACAACCTGTTCTTGTTTCTTTCCTTCGGCTATTTACTTCCTTCACTGTTTTGAAACCCTCACAGTTGCAGCAGAGCACAGCACCACGCTTCTCTTTGCTGTTACGTTTGGTCCACGATGATTTAACCCTAATAGCAAATCCAAGTTCTTTGGCATAGCTATTGTAGTAATTATAGGCATCATCATAAGTATCGAATTCCATCCTTACCACTGGTGGAGGGTAGTCTTTTACTTGAGATTCCCCATTATGACAATCAACAATCTCCGTTTCATCTCTCCCACTTTCAAGATCATCTGCATCAATCTCCAATTCACTCCACTCATTCTTGGCATCAACAAAATACTCACTGTTTGGAGATCCTTCCTCTATCTGAGAAAATGCAACAAGCATTCAGTAATAAAAGATCTAATAGAACCGTGCATACATTGAATCTGACAACCACATAAATTGCAAAATCTTGATAACAAAGTTCCTCTGTGTCTTTACCACCTTGAATTTGCTTGTTATTGACAGGTTGTAAATAACCTTTGCGCTCTCCTTTTTCCTCCCACTAAATAACGTACCTCTCTCATTTTTATATTACGAAAAAAACAATCCCATCCAATAAGCACTTTTTTGGAAGCAGTGAGTTAGCTATCTCTTCAACACTGTTGAATTGCTGGGATCTCAATGAATATCACATGCAACAATTTTCAATACTTAACCCCTTAATTACAGTCTGCTGGCAGCTTTACGATGAATCCTCATAACGCCATTAGAAGATTCAGTCACTTTAATATCAAAACATCTTGAAGCTTTTATATACTATACAAAATCTCAATATAAGGCACAGCCACTGAGTTCTTGAAGACAAGAAGCAAGCTACCTCAAAAATCACATATTTTACCATTTACCACTACACTTACCTAACCATAGGACCAAAACCGCTGAAATCACTTCAGCGAACTAGCCGCGAGAGTAATTTCCAAAAACTCTCATATTTTACATCAACATTCAGAAAACGAAACCTTCTCAATTTCCAACCAAAGAATGATTATCGAACAAAATGGAAAACACCCACGCGCACCCATAAGAAGAAAAAGGTTTTTCTTTTACCTTAAATTTTCTTCCTTTTGACATGTATCATTGAAATCCAAATTCGAAGCGGAAACTTGGGAAATGGACAGAGGAACAAATGACTCTGAGAGCAGGCATAAAATTTGAAGCTTATAAGAAAAGAATTACCGTGATGTCGAGGTTATGACTCGGCGACAAGCTCTTGTTGGCCGCAGAATACGAGGTATCGCCTGTCATTGTCTGACTAGAGGCTTATGTGTTCCGTCGTCGAAGACTGTGAGATCGGCCTTGCCCTAACCCCCTCCACCTTGCGTTTGGACAAAGGTCCCCGAATTTCTTGTTTAATACTTTTGCGCCCCACAATTTTTGAAAAGCATCAAATCACGATAGTTTTCTCAGAAAGCTTTTTTTTAAAAAAAAAAAAAACTAATTCATCTCCACCTGAGTACTTGTCATGACTTATGAGAGGTCGGATTCTCGGAACCAGAGCCATGACGCCGTCACGGTGGGCGGCGGCAATTCAAACATTTGCCTTCTTTTGGCCAGAACGAAGGGGGCATTCAAACACAGAATAACGAAATATCCTTCCAAACAATTTAATATCTGTCAAGAAATTGTACGAGTTATACTTGTTAAAACTTATTTTTTTATTTAATTGTAAATATTTATTTTTAAAATTTTTTTTGCTAATATTAAATTCTTTCAAAAAATTTTCAATAATAGTCTCACTTCAGACAAATGTAGAACAATTCCTTAAATAGCATTTAGATATACTCACTGCAAAAAAGAATTATAAGGCAACAGTTGGCAACAAAAAAAATAAAATATCCAGCAATTCTAACCCTTCATTTAAAATTGAAAGAAAATAAAGAGAAAAGAAAAAAAATATTTTCCTCTCTATTATAGGGTTTTTCATTTAATTTGTCTCCTCTCTCTAGAAGAAATTAAGAGGATACATGCTTCCATGCCTGCTTTAAACCGTAATACTTTTTTTGTAATAATTTTCTAGTAATGTACCCCCTGGGATCATAATATAGGGTATTGAAATGTAATTTATAATTCTCAAAATACATTATTTGAAATTTAAATTTTTTAAGAAAATTTATATATTTTCAATTATACTCTCATTAAATATCATATGTAAGTACTTTAATAATGAGAATTAAAATTTTATTATTTTTTAAAAAATAATAAATGAGTAAGGGTATAATTAAAAAATCAATTATAAAAATTGCCCAGTGTCACGTATTTTATATCAAGCAATACTTTTAAAAAAGTTCTATATTATGATAAGAAGGAGTATGCTTTTAATATTGTTAAAGAGAGAGGTGGGAAGGAGGGAGGATACAGTTGTGAAAATGTCTTTTTTTATTATTTTTAAAAAATTTTCTTCCTATTTTTTCTCATTCCAAACAAAATCTCAAATGCGGGTTTGGTTTACTGAATCAGAGGTAATGTAATGAAATGTAAAGTTAAGAAATGGAATATATTTTAATGATATGTACATGAGTTTTGTTTGGAATGAATGATATTTAAAAGGATAAAAATAAATTTATTTTTGTATTTAATTTACTATTTATATGGACTAAAATAACATCATTCCAATATTCCATTCCTCTCCGTCGTTTGCTTCATCTTCCCTGTTGTCACCATGTGTTTTCTCTTCATCGTCATCTCAACGCATGGAGCTTCATTAATTAATTAATTTAATAACAAGAATAAATGATAATATGAAATTAAAGTCGATCTCTCACCACCACTTTTTTCCTCCTTGCTTTAGCTTCTCGCTGATCCTCCCTACTCGCAAATCATCGCAGATCTGGTTCAGCATCACAAATCTGAGTTCATTGCTAACAAAGATTAAGAAGCATATCTAGGTTCTAGATGTTCAAGAGCACAACAATGGAGGTCTTACTAGTGGTGCCAATGGTGGGGGAAAGGAGCGTAGCAGCATATTTGAAGGTGGACAAGGATAGCAGTGTGGACACGAAGGAAGATGAGGAACGCGAACCAAGGGCATAAATGTCTTCTGACATGAAGGATTAATCCTCATTCATGAGGAACGAATTTGGAATACATGGTGTAATCACTTCGTCATTGTTGAAGTCAACCAAACACCAGGAATCACTAAAATAAATCAAGATTACATGTAATCTGCTCATTAGTCATTCATGTAATCAAACCAAAAGGAGCTATAAATGATTGGAGTTTGATGTGTTGTGCAAAAATTTTATTGTTTTATCCAACCCAGTCTAACCTAAACAAATATGATCCTGTCAAGTTTAGTTAAAAAATTAGTTTAAAAGATTAAAAAGATCAAAAAGATTAACTAACTCTTCGAGTTAGACCGATAGGAGACCAAGCTCTCAAACCACTTAATCTAGTCTAGTCTTATAAAATTACTTTAATATAATTTTAATTATTTTTAATATATTTGAATAGTTTAAAGTTTGAACACAATAATTTTTTCATTTACATTTCACCTTTCTATTTAATATAATTTTAATTTAGTTTATTGCTAAATTGTTGTTGACTTGTTGTAATGCATATTAGACATGTTGCTGAAATTTATTGAATGTTATTGTTGCTGTTGTTGAAATTATGAATTTGAATCATTTGAATTGTCGTTAAAATATTTTTTATTATTGTTGTTAGATGTTGTTATGGGGTTTTTATGATTATAAATATTTTTATTATCTTAATTGAATTTATTAAGATGAAATGAATTGTTACCTCTCACACAGATAAAAAGGACAAAAAAAAATCTAATTACTAGAAATTTTCAAAGCAAGTGATAGTGAAAAGGTGCTTCAGATCTAATTAAATTCATCGTCGGTGTAATTTTGTTGGCCATAGCTATAATTTGTTATATGTTAACTGAAAACGTGGCTTGACTAGCTTTGTTGGCTATTTTGAAACGTTTGTAAGGTCAGGCAATTATATCTAAGGGGGTATGAATCAAGTGTTTTAACAAATTTTTGACTAAACTAAAAACTATTATAAAATTTAACTTAATTAAAGGTGCAAACAAGAGGTTTAACAAAATGAGTTTGAGTAAATCCTATATACTTGTGTAGCAAAGAGCGTGAAAAACACTTGATAGAAAACTTGAACATTTGAAAACTGAATAAGCACAAATACAACAACAAATTTATCAAACCAAAATTCAAAGAATAAAATGAACAACAGTTTTCAAAAATAAGAATCAAGAGACTGCAAGATTATAAAAGGGCTGAATGTAAAGAAAGTAGGGATGGAGATATTATATAAAATCGATTTATCCTAATTCATTCCAACCATTTGGCTAACATTCAGTACTCAAAACACCTTTGAGATTTATCCACTAAAATCATAAATTTAAATGGATGCTTGCCATTATTATACAATCACAAGTTTGATTTGGATACTTGTAAACCATTACAAATCCCTAACTACACTAATGAACTTCTCACACAAGAAAACAAGCTCTCTAGATCACAATGAAATCTCTTTCTCAAAATTTTCACCTTCACAGGAAAATATCTTCTATTTACAAAGTCAAGGGAACACTTCTCTTTATTCACTTAAGAATGAGATAAGTGTGTTTTTCTAATGAATTCTCTCTCAAAGAGATTATAAGAACAATTTGGCACACTCAAGTAATCTCTTCCAAAAAAGTAAATAATACATTTAATACTTATAAACTAAGTGAGAGCAAATTTTACACAAAATGATTGCAAGTTAGCAAGAATTCAATAATAAGGTATGTAATACATGATTGATGATTACTCACTACTTTAAATGAGATTCCATTTATAATTTGGCATCAAAAGAGACATTAGGAACAGTCTAGGCAAGGATTATAACCATCAGAGATGAAGAATATCAAAAATTTTTTGCAAACAATGTTAAATACTTGTTAGAACTTGATAGCAAGGGGACACGCATGGATTGGCTTGACTTACAAATACTTGGTTCACTTTTGGCTACTTTCAAGCATGAAGGCTATATGGTTCAAGTGTGTATTAGAAATAAAAAAATTTTGCTTCCACTGTGAACTCAAACATACATGGGTGTAAACTAGTTCAAACGTGTATTGGAAAAGTATTCTTTAGAATGTGAAATGCGTTTGAGTTACTACTAAAACAAGTTTGAATTAGCTTGTTTAGAACAAAGTCTCTTTAAATTAGGCTTGAAGGAAACTAAATATAAAAACTCATTCAAGCATGAATCACTTAAGTGACACACATATATTAAATCAAGGCACACTTCATGCTAACATACTATGACAATTCAAGTGTGTATAACATTTAACTCAAATGAGAATTAAATCATAGAAGTATGTCCTTGAATGATGGCTAATTCAAGCGTGTGCACAAACCTAAATCAAACAAGTTATAATCAAATTCAAAATACTTACCTTCACTAAAGGCTCAAACACACATGTGTCCAATCTAGACATGTGTAGATTGACTTATAATGTTGGACAAAGCTTTTAAAGCCTAATTTAGGTGAGTATCAATTCTAACTCAAGCTTAAATTGAATTCATTAAGTCTTATAATGTATGAGGGATGGCTGATTCATGAGTGTGCATATACCAGGTCCATTGTGAATTAGATTTAGAACCTCAAATACATTTTAAGTGTTTGACAATAAGGTTTTATGACTATGAGCTTATGACAAGCTCTAATGTGATGCATTTTTACAATTTAAGATGTGATTTTGCTTTCAATAATTTTCACATTGATATCTAAAAGAAAAATAAAAGAAATAAATCTATCAAGTCCAAATCTTATCTTGTTCTCCATGCTCTTTGAAGTTTCGTCCTTTAATAAATATAATATGGATCTATATAAGTAATAAATTACTTTCTCTTGATTTTATAATCATCATAACACATTTTTCAACAATGTTGATACATTTTGAGAAGTTTAGAACATTTGACAAGCTAAATTATATGATCATGAATAAACAATCTCCTAACATATATGTGCAACCCAATATAAGTGAAATTTAAGGGGCAACTAACAAACTCATCTTTAGTGCTTATCAGTATGATGAAATTTAATTTTGACCTGGATGGTCCTAGTTTAAAGTATTATTTTATATTTATTATAATAAAAATTACACAAATTAAAAAAGATTTATCATCAATTTGGTTTATATTTAATTTGGAGGATTTTATTTAATATTAAAATTTTATAATTCTTATATATTGACTATCTAAATGTACTCTACATAGTCCAAATTTAATATTATAATTTTTAAAAAAATTTATTTTGATAAATATAATGTTAAAAATTGAAATATATAAAACTGACATTTTTAAACATATTTTTTTAAAAAAATTAAGTCTAAATTATTCAGAATATATCTAGATAGTCAATAAATAAAAATTATAAATATTTTAATATTAAATTGAACCTTATCAATTAAAGTTAGACCAAATCGATGATAAAAAGTTTATTATATAATTTTTATAAATTTTTATTATAATAAATATAAAATAATATTTTAAATTTGAATGATCCAGATCTCATCACATTGATGAGCATTGAAGATGGACCCATAACTAAAGGAGTTTTATGATTTAATGACAAAGCCTCATACTTTATTTTATATATTTAAGGTATTTTTATAAAAAAACTATTTTTTGCCTAAAAAAAACTATGTTGTTATCAATATGGGATCAGTTTTTTTATGCTCATATTAACAATATGTTGCCATGAGAGTAAAAAAAAAATTATGAAATTTGGAAGGTGTAATTTTAATTAATGCAAGGAAATTGAAAAAAAGAAATAAATTTGCTCTTTATAACTTATTTTTTGAAATGTGGGGACCAACATTTTTTTTTTATTGCTTATGTGTATCCTTTTATAAAGAGTAATCTTATTTGAGGCACGATCAACACTAAATATGAGCACCTCTTATAGTGAGAATTTGAATTTTAATTTTGAATGTTATGAGAAACTAGTCCTTTTTTGCTAAATCTAACCTCTGTTGTAAGGGGGATCAACATTTTAAATAATTAAAATTATATAATTGAGTTGCCATCAAATCATAAAAACTAAGTTGTACCAAATTAAAATTCAAGAATTGAATTACAACTGAATCAAAATTATAAAAACTAAATGATTAATTTTTTCACAAAAAATATGAGAAAATAATTATAAATTAGTTTTTAATTATTATCTTCCCTCCTTTTTTTTTTCTAACCCAAACAAAGGGTCATTGAAAATCATTCCCCTCCAATCATGCCAAACATGAAAAAAAATGTGGGTATCTTTCCCAATAAAAATTTAAATCTTTTGTGAAGTTGTTGCAAGGGATCAACCTCATAAACTAAACTCAAATTTTTTTATTTAAAAAAATAGTTGAATTAGTCACTAAACCCAACTCTTATTGATAGTAAAATATGAAAAAAAAAATACTTACAAATCCTTACAGTTTCACTCAATTTTTAATTAAGTCTCTGCAGGTTATTTTATTTTAATCAAGCCCTTATAATTTTATTTATTAAAAATATTGACCCTTGAGGTATAAAATTAATAATAAAATATTAATTTTATAAATTAAATTTTCAGAAAATTTAATTTAATACTCTTCACATTAAAAAAAGAAAAAAAATTAATTTAATCCACTATTTATATTTTCATCATAATTTTTTTATGAAAACTCTACATGTATAAAAAATATTTAGAAAACAATCTAATCATATAAATTCTTATTTATAAAAATTATGTAAATAATTTTAAAGTCATATAATTATTTAATAAAAATATAAATGTTCTGATTTTTTAAAGGAAAAATATAAGGGTCTTGATTTTTAAAAATTAAAAAATTTAATTGATTAAATTATAAAAACTTAATTTAAATAAAATAAATTATAGAGACTTAATTTAAAATTGAGTAAAATTATAAATATTTGTAAATCTTAAATAATGACAGTAACGCAAGTATGCAATTTTTCTTATTTAAAAGAAAAAAACAAAAAAATAACACAGTGCACCGGGGCGCGAGATTTATCAGAGATTCAGATTTCAGAATCTCGTCACCCCCATTGTCAACCACAAGTAATAAGCTAAGTATTTTTTTTTTTTTTTTAAAAAAAGGGAGCCAGTTTTGTTCGTTACATCTAACCGCTGAATGAAGTTCTGGTCTCCAGCTTCTAACGAGTCACCCCGACTTCTAACCTCTGCCACTCACAGTCACAGCACAGCGATCCCCAACAATGGTTTCTGCTCTGCTTTCTCTCTCTCTCAACATTGCCGTTTCCTCATCTTCCACAAACCACAGAAATGCCTTGAGCAATTACACAAGAAGACGATCGCCGATACTTACATTTCGAGTTAGAGCTAGCTCTGCAGAAAAGGGCGAATCCAACGACAAAAATGATACCACCGAGTTCAATCCTTTTGGCTTCGTCACCGACAATCCCTCCAGCCGCAGCTCAATTCAGTTGCCGGAAAGTCCCGCTGAGGATGGCAATGTCGGCCAAATGCTCTATGTAATGTCTCTTTCACATTGAACCCTTCTTGTACTTACTGGTATAATGATTGTGGTGCTTTTTTGCGGCTCCATTTAGGATGAAATTGGAACAGAATTATGCTTTCAAGCGGTAAAGTGATGCAGGAAAAGAAATTAAAGGAGCTAATTGATATGGAGAGCTATCCTTGGAAACCCAAAATAGAGTTTTGCTCATTACATTAGTCATAGAAGAGGAGCACAGTGGTAGTAACATCTATATAACGTGTGCTTTTTTTTTCTAGAGGATAGAAGACAAGGGCAAGGAATATGGGTCATATATTAAGTCTGGGAAGTTAAGATGGTTTGTGAGGGAAACTGGTAATATTTACTTCGCTGGGAACTAACTTTATCTTTAAATTTATATTTTTGTTCATGAAACGTTTTAAATAATTTGTATGTCTTTTACTTCCTTTTAGGATCGGCGGAAAGCAGGCGAGGGACTATTGTTTTCCTTCATGGGGCTCCAACTCAATCTTTCAGCTACCGAGTTGTTATGTCTCAGGTCATCTACTTATCTCATCATATGTTGTCACAGATTTAATAGACATCTCTCCTTTAGATTTGACTCCTAACAAAGAAAGTAAAATAGAAAAATGAGAAGCAGGAGAGAAATTCAATTCATGGTCTCTTCTGGTTAATCTTTCTAACAAAGCACTCCCTCGTGCTTCTCTCAAAACACTTGAGAAATTTTATGTAAATTTTTTCCACTCTCAAGCCCTAGATTCAAGAGTAGCCCAATATTTTGATACTATCTACATATATGCCTCCTTTCTTCCCTCTTGTTGATACTATCTTATATATGCCAAAAAATGTTTTCTTGAATAATTGTTCAATATTCTCTAGTCACTGTTTTGATTTTCTTTCTCTGAAATAGTTGGCAGATGCAGGGTTTCACTGCTTTGCACCTGACTGGATAGGATTTGGTTTCAGTGACAAACCACAGCCAGGATATGGTTTTGATTACTCAGGTTTTTTGACGGAGAAAACATGAAATCAGAATGATTTTAACCATAATCAACTATTCCCATAAAAACTATATACTTAAAGATGTTCTTACAATTCTTGCAGAAAAGGAGTTTCATGAAGAATTGGATAAATTACTTGAGGTTCTAGGCGTCAAATCTCCCTTCTTTCTAGTTGTTCAGGTATGCAGAAACACAAAGGATATGCCTGTGGAAGTATCTTTTTCATCTGAAGTTTTGGCACAGTGATTATAATTACATAGCAAATTTACATATTCATCTTAAAATTGAAGTTCCCTAATTGAAATCAGGTGCATACAGCAGCTGCATTTCAATTTATGTGCCATCTTGAACTCAAACAATATGTCTAACATGATGCCGCACTCCTCCTTAAGGGATTTGTTGTAGGTTCATATGGATTAACTTGGGTCCTGAAGAACTCAAGCAAGATATCAAAGCTAGCAATACTAAACAGCCCATTAACAGTCTCATCTCCCATTCCTAAACTTTTTCAGCAGCTAAGGTTTGTTTCTTGGATATATAAACAAATTTTGGTCCTGAACTGCAAATTCTCATGTCTAAAATCTTGACTGAATCTGTACTTCAGTTTATTAGATATTTCTCTTGGTTTTTACCCAGAGTAATGTTACGAACATTTAGTAAACCCTTTATTTCCATCCAATGGGGATTGCAAACGATAAATATTGCTTAAAGACCATATTATTTCATGATCAGGGATTGATACATCACTCTTAGGCAAATGTGCATACAAGAAAATGTGTTAAGTAAAGTGTACATGCACGCGCATTTTTTAGCTGATGGAGATTTAGAACTAAGCTAACAATATCTTATAATCACAAGTTTTTATATCATATTAACTCTGTTTCTTTCCTGTCTAGAATTCCTCTATTTGGTGAATTTACATGCCAGAATGCTATTATGGCTGAGCGGTTTATTGAAGCAGGTAGCCCGTATGTATCCAAAAGTGTATTTGACTATTTGATAGCAATTCTTTAAATTACAGTTGCAGCCCATAATGCGTTCTACCTCAAATAGCATGACATTTTCACTATAGTAAATTTCCTGCACAGCGTTGTAAGCATGATTGAAACTAACAGTATAGTTATATGAGAAATGTGAAATCGTAAATTTAGCATCTGTTTATAGATCTTGCTACATGAATACGTTACCCCTGTACAATAAATCTGGATGAGCTAACACTAGGTGTTTGCATTATGTTATGTAGAAGGCTAGACTTGTTAAATTAAATCACCTTTGCCTTTGAAAAGCAATTGATTGGTAAATGTGTTCATAAATGAAATTCAGAGCATGTTTATAACAGTGAGTGGTTCCTACAAAATTGAATGCTAATGATTACAAATCAGTCAAAGCAATTCTATACTAATTACTACTACAAGGCTATCCTCTATCAATTGCAAATTAACACCGGATATTCCCTGATATCTCTAAATAATAGTCCTCATCCAGCATTTATAGCATTTCCAATAAGTCAGTTGTATATAATACAGCATAACTACTAAAATTAGCTTAAATCACGGTCATCTTCATATCATAATCTTGTTGGACAATTAATTTCCTCAAATTTCATGCTATTTTCCAATAAGTCAGGCATTGCTCTTACAGGTATCTTTCATTTTTGCAGTTACGTACTGAAAAATGAGAAGGCTGACGTTTACCGGTTACCTTATTTGTCTAGCAGTGGACCTGGATTTGGTTTGCGGCATAACTTAATTACTTTTGATGCTTTTCTCTTTTATCATGTATCTATTTGCAAAATGTAAGAAAAGATTTTGTGATAGTTTTGAATCTATTGATATATGCGGGTAGTGAAGAAACCTGGTAGAATCATCTTAAAGCCAAGAATAAACTATACATCATTATGAGGATTGAGGATAACAATTCAACAGAGGACTGATCCCTAAACTAGATTAGTAAATTAAATGGAAATATATTTGATGTAATTATTTCAGATTCTTGAAAATCAGTTGTTCAATCATGATCATATAATGTAATGAATGTGAGCATCTATTGATATTCTAGTTGTTGGGGTTTCAGCTCTGCTTGAAGCTGCAAGGAAGGCTGATTTCAAAGGTAGTTTCAGTGAGATAGCAACAGGATTTGCAGCAGAAAGGTATATTTTAAATCTACATCTTCTTTTCATTTTATTAAACATAATGAGTTTGAGCCTAGAAAAGCTCAATAATAAATACAATAGTTTCTGGAATCGATGAGATTTTTTAGCTGAAAGGTTTACGTGTGGCTCATTCAAGACGTAAGTAGCTGATTTTTCTCATTTCAAACCACTCGCAACATAATTATCGTGTATTGGTAATAATTACATTTCTTACAAACAAGTATGTGAAAGGCACTTAGAGCATATGTACTGCAGAATTCATTCATTTTGAAGCTCAAGCTTTCTATCCAACTACTATTTGTGATCTTTGAAACACAATACATGCACATTTTATACAACTCAAAACTCTTTCATAAAAGTTTCTCCATATGCTATAATCCCATTGATAAACCTAATAGAAAACACCAAAATCATTTCACTTTAATTTTTTCTTGGTATTGATGGGATATGTTTCAAACCCTTCCACAAGACTTGATCAGTTTAACTTTCCTAGGTTTTTGTGACCAGAATTTTTTATATAGTAGTTAAATGTGACGACCCAAGTTAGCGCAACGAACAAAAGGGAACAATTAGGATCTTCGCAACCCAAATGTACTCTTAGCGTCAAGAGTTTATATTCTTAGATGCCTAATCTTTGGAAAGGCCTTTGTTATCCCAATATCTGATCATTAATATCTGAGTAACCTATTTGCACTGTCATGTTTTTCATGGTAAAAAGAAAAAAGAATGAATATATTATCTATCATCAATCTTGCATGTATTGTTGAGAGTCCCACTCCTCTCCTCTGATACAAGAGGATATAAAATTCTGGAAAGCAAAATCCTTCCCTAAACCTGAAGTCATGAGGTATAATTAAATGGGTTATGTACTTCAGATGGGATAAACCAGTATTACTTGCCTGGGGATTATCAGACAAGTATCTACCCCAATCTGTGGCAGAGGAGTTTCAGAAAGGAAATCCAGAACAAGTTACGCTTAAGTTGATTGAAGGAGCTGGACATATGCCTCAAGAAGACTGGTGAGTTACTTCAAAATTATGTTGCTCTTGCATATGTAGTATGTGAATATATTGTTGAATCTCTTTCGAAAAGTTAGCCTCTAATACACATATATGATGTATCGTTGACAGGCCTGAGAAAGTTGTTGATGCCTTGAGAGTGTTTTTCTGATCTCAAGATGTGTATTCCTCCCTTGTATTGCAATGTCAAAAGCTGGCAGACTCTTCACTGTTTCCTCCATTGAATATAGTTCATCTGTAAATTGTAAACATACCAGATCTTAAAGTTTTATTAAAAACAAAAAGAAAAAAGAAAAAGAAAGAGCTTTATTCAATTGAGTCTCTGTTCCTATTTCCTTGTAGTATTTGGAATTATAAATGTCCCTACCTGTCAGTTAAAAATAGAAGATCATTGAAGTACGTTCTCACTCCTTAGATACTGGAAAGTTAAACTGTTTCACACCGGGCTGGAACAAGGTTCCTAAACGCTTTACATAAAGCAACACGCATTACATGACAAAATGAAATTTGAAGGGAAAGTGAACTTAGCAGTTGTTTAATATAGTTTTCATATTTAAATAATAAATTATTGTTTGAATTTGAATAGTGAGCAATTAAATCTATTAAATTCCCATGATTTTTAAAAGTTCAGACTTAATTTCTAAACAGCTAGTAACCACCAAATAATCGTCCATTAATGAGATTTAATCATAGAAAAACGGATAGATTCTCCTATTATGCAGGACGGAACCACTAGATTAGAAAAAATACATATTCAAATGCATTTTCGTTGATCCTCCAAAAACCCCAATATTATCCTACCTACTATGCTTTTCACGTTGTTTTGTTGATTCGGCTCTTGCGGTTGCTTTCTAGACTTCTTTAAGTTGCTTGGGATGACTTTTACTCCTATTTGGTTGGAGGTAGGGATAGAAATAATATGCCATAATTGACTTTAACTAAATAAGTCTGACCTATTTATATAAATAGATTCAAACCCTGCCTTTTTGTCAAACAGGTCGAGCTTAGCCATTTGTCTAAGTTTAGCATTTTTATTTAAATAAGTTAGGCTAGACCTTAATCAGCCAGGTCATAAGCCTCATATAAGTCTCCTGACCTATTTTCTTCTTGGTTGGAGGTAATGGAGGGAGGAGAAATTCTAATGAGTTCAATTAAAAAATGCACAAGTAGAATTATAAAATTTTAATAAAGATAATATTTAAATTAAAGAGTAAGAAAAATTAATTAAAATCTTTTAACCTTGCCCTTTCTATAAAATGGAACTTATTAAAATTTCCTCCCATCTTTCCTTCGTTCATTTCCGAAAAAACATAACCTTAGAAATTTGAAATGATTTGTTATATATTCAAACAAGCAACAAACGTAGTGGGAGGGGAAAAAAAAGGCTTTAGCTGATTAAATTGAAACAAAGTCAAGTCGTGTAACACACGTTCATTTAGAGTACAAGTGTGATTTTCATTGTCGATGTCACAATCTCTTTTTTCATGTATTCCCTCAACTCACACCAATAAAACAATTAATGGTTATTTAAAACATTAAAATTGTCATAGAATTCAAATATGCAATTAGTTTTGAATATTATTCCTATTAACTACTAAACTCTAACATTATAAGAGTATTTAATTTCTACTCTCTTTTACTGCCCTTTATTAAGGACACACACACACACACACACACACACACATATATATATATGGATGAAAAATAGTTAATGCTCTAAAAATATGTGAAATGGCTTATAATTATAATCAAGAGCACTTTCTAAACAAAAAAGTAACATATATTTAAGAACAAAAGCATGTACTTTAATGTTAAAAAATCTAAATGACTTGGCACCACAGTGATTATATAAATGCAGCCAAAATTAAGACTTAAGAATAAAACTTTATATATATATATATATATATATATATAACGCTTGGTTTGTAATTGAGATCCTTATTTGTAACTATTTGAATTAATTAATGTTATAAGAACAGAATTGGACTGGCCAATTTGACTAATTGAATCGAGAATCAATCCTAATTTCAATTTGGTTATAACATAAAACTGTTATATTTGAGAATTACCCAAAAACTAGTTGAAACAGTCTTAAACTAATATAGTTGTCAAATTCTCGAGTTGACTTTACAAATTTAATATTTTTATATTTTTTAATTTATAAAATTGTGTCAGTTCACTCATAAATTCAAACTAAATAAAAACTTAATTAAACTCATGAGTTTATTTTTGAATTTACCATTTTTATATTTCTAACTTATAAAATCATGTCAACTAATTCATAAACTTATATTAGATGCAAGCTTGGTTAAACATATTAAGCTCATCAATTTTTTTTAGTTGAACGAGTTAAGTATATATTATGAAGAATTTAGTTCATAATAGTTATAGGACTTAGTTAAAAAAAATTGAAATGCAAAAACTAATATTAATGAAAAGAAAACAAAAATACTAAAAATAAATTCCCCTATTTTAAAATTTTATGTCTTATATATGATAATTTATCAATGTAGATGGACTTAATTTCAATGATTTATAGTTTTAATATATTTAAATTAAATAACAATCATATTTTAATGGCTATTTGTTAATAAAGATAAACTCTTATAGTTTATGATCCAAATTTGCGATACAAATTTACATTCCTATCATGAGTGTACTTAAATTCATGAGTTTAATAACCTTAAAACTAGTTAAAACTAGCAAAACTAGTGGAAACACTTGTTTAACCAATTCTATTTATTTTTTAAAATTTTTAATTTTTTAAATTTTAATTTGTATTTATAAATTATAATTTACACATATTTTTGCCTGATAAGAATTAATAAATGAAGAAAAATGAACAAATATGCATAGAATATGTGCACACACACATTAAAGTTATAAGTTATAAATTATAAAACAATTACACATATTTTGGATTAAAATGATGGATATATAGATGGATATTGCCTTCTTTATTTTATATTTTTTGGTTTTAAATTTAAAAATTTATTTTTATTACTGTATAAAATTATTTGTTTTCATTTTAAGCATATATTATTTAAAATATATCAATTTATTTATGTCCAGTCGAACCATGGTTTAGATCATGGTTTGACCATTAAATCGTGAACCAGTATCTCGACCGGCTCAATGATCAGCCTAATTTTCTTAACATTAAAATTAATATTTATAACTTATTTTTTAAAAGATTTAGTTGAAAACTTAATTGTCATTAATTATTATTGTTAAAAGTACTTTGTTGTCATCCTCTCATCTTACGTGTAACCTTAATTAATCAAGGAGTAATCCAAACTTAACCTTTTGAAAACCGAGTTCATTCTAGCAATGCAAGACAATAATATTAGCCATTTTCATTCAGTCATGTTACAGCTTACTAGTTGTAGTAATGTCAATTCCATGTAATCGTGCTGGCCCAAAAAAAAAAAAAAAAACCATGTGCTCGTTCATAACCTATTTATACAAGTCCTTTTTTAACTGATTTATGTATAAATTAAAAAAATTTATTTTCTCTAATCCTAATTCCTAAATATAAAACCTTAATCTTCTTTATCTTTCTTATTTAATATTTTTTCATAAATTATCTTGATTAATTTCACATTTTTTCCTCTCTTTCTTTGTCATTCACATTTAGTACCCTTATTAACATAGATGCATTTTACATCAAAAAAAGAACCCAAAAAAAAAGAAAAATAAAATAGATGTATCTCGGGAGAAATGATAATAATTTTTTTACTCAATAATAATTGATAACCAACTTAAATAATTTTCTTACGAATTACTAGTTAACTATGTCTTATATTTTAGGATATAAAAAAGTAGTTAAACTTAGTTAAATCTCATAAAATTATCTCATCTCTTTAAAAAATTTGAACTAAATGCAATAAATTTGAACTAAATCATACACATCTCTCTATTGTTTTAATAGATCAGAAGAGTTGGAATCATTTATTTCTATCAACATCTCACCTCACCTTCATACACGGCGCTGTATTACTCTTTATCCTAATCGCGGTACTCATTACTCAATAAGATCAACAACAAAGTTATTATTAAAAAAAATTATATTAATTATTTCATAGACTTACAAAAGGACTTACTCCAATCCTACAATTATATTAATTATTTCATCACTCCCTTTGATCAATATTGAGATAACTTGTGGTCTAATAATGTTGATCCAATTGATAAGAATTTAACCCATAAATTATAAGGTCATGGTTCAAATCTCATTACTAATAAAAGAACATTATTTAATTAATAATTTGTAGATATTTTCATAAGCATCATTTAAACTTGAAAATTTATTTTGATTTTGGTGAGCGCTCCTAAAACTCAATTCACCAAAATTTTTTATATAAAAAAAATGAGATATTATCAATTATCATACATATGTGCGTAGACAAGCAGGTACGTGCCCATGTGTTTTTCTGACTGGCATCCCCCATGTGGGCAGAGTCACATATGCTTGAAGGAGACATATGTATCCCTCAATTTGAAGAAATTATAAGAATAATTTATTTTTTTGGCTTTTGGAATTGGAGGCCCCGAGAAGAACGTGTTAATTGAGTCATGTCAGTGTATAAAAAAATTTTACAATCAAGAGACGCGGTGTCAAAAAAAATATATTGAAATTATCGATAAAAACTTAATAGATCAACCAATCAACACATGTATTTGTTTTTATAAAAATATAATCAAAGATAACAGTCCCATCTCACATAATGTCAGAGATCAAAGTTAACATAATAAAGTTTTCTATTTTGCCTTTTATAGTCACAAAAAATTGCAACTCTTCAAATCTAGATATGTTTTTGTGGATATTTTAACTTAAGCCTAGTCTTAAATTTACTAAATTCAAAATTCTAATATGATTTTTAAAAAATAATATGCTTATTTATTTAATTTTTTTAAGTTTCTTGTAATTATTATATATTTATAGATTTTTCATATATAAATAATATCTTAAATTAATGACTTATATGAATGAAAATATTTTTAATAATATTTGACAATATCGAGAACAATTATAAAATATATGACTATTTTTTTAAAAAAATATATTAAATAACCATTTTTAAATTATTATTTTTAAAATTAATTTGCACCTCCTATCACAAGTCCTGACTCAGCCTCTACATCTCTCCTTTATAATTACTGTCATTTTCCACCGTGGTTCTACTGTGATAATACACACGACGAAACCAATTATTAAAATATCAGTAGGTCCCACGCGTAAGGACGATATACTGGATGGATCACATGAAATCCTCACATTGTGGTACGGTGATGATGTTTTGTTTTTTTGCCC